CCCCCGGCCCCTGCCCCACTCGGTCCCCGCAGCGCGGCCTAGAGGCTCTTCCGATTAACCATGTCCAGGCGAAAGCGGTAAGAGACTCCGCCAGGCGCCGTTGGTCACTCGGTCGGGGGGACAGTCGCTCAGCTTTAAAGCTGGAACGCACATCAGCCGGGGGGAGGATTTGGCACGCCTTGTCTTGCGGGAAAGTTCACCGAGCAAATGAGATCTGTGTCAACGTCCAGTGCCAGTAGCGCACCCCAACAAGCACGCACACAAAGAAGCCTGCGCGCCCCTGAAATCCCCATCAGGGGTCTGCAGAGGGCCTAGAGAGCGGGGGCTTTGCGGTAGGAATCGGCCTGCAAACGCGGGGACCCCATAGCACACCCTCTTGGGGCCCCGAGGTGAGGGGTGCGGTGAGGATTGAATTTGTTGTTCCCACTAAACCCCTTCAAAATACCTCACATTTCTCGGAGGCTGTTTCCAAGTCCCGGTCTACAGGTTGCTTTGGGCTGCTTACAAAACAACTTAAAAATGGCTTGTCCAAGTGAGAGCCACAGCTCAGGAAAATACCCCTGGAAAATGGATGTGAAACATGGCTGTTTATGCCACACACTTGTTTGAACGTGTGACGGGCACTGAAAGCAACCAGGACCTACAAATGCATATTTCCCCCAAACCTCTAAGCGCATATTGTGCTTCAGGAGCCCTGTCTGCAGATCTCTGGTTATCTTTAAGTGCTTAGTAAATGAGTAACAGGCAGTCTTGAAGTACAAGAACAAATGCCACATTTGGCAAATAAAAACATACATCATGCAATTAAAACTGAATTCCAGATAAATGAGGAATACCTTTGTAATATAAATATGTCCTATGCTATATATACTTTAAAAATTCTTTAGTTGAAATTCAAATTTAACTCAGTGTCTTTTTTTTTTCTGGCAACTAGGAACAATGCAAAAATTACTTGAATTCTTTGTTTATAGGCCAACAAACAAGACACAAGTTTATATTGAGAGGTAGGCAAAACTATCACAAGGATTCTGAATAGTTTATATATGTAAAATAACAGACACATTGAAATATTAATTATGAAAGCAATAAAAAAACATTTATACTAACAGAGAACATTGTCAATCTGATAGTTAATATTAGTAAGGCTTTTAATCCAGGGATCTGCACAATACCCCCTGAGGGCCAAATCAGTTCTGTGGCCATTTTTTGTATGGTCTTTGAGCTAGGAATGGTTTTTACATGTTTAAATGGTCAAATAGAATCAAAAGAACAATATTTTGTGGCAAGTCAGTTATATGAATTTCAAATTTCAGTGTCCACAAAGTCTTATTGTAACCCAGCCACATGCCCACTCACTTGCTTAATGTCAAGTTAAGCCAATGCAACAGAGATCAGCCCGCAAAGCTGGAAATGTTTACTCTCTGGCCCTCTATGAAAGCAGTTTGTTGACCCCTGATGTATATGAAAACATTACCTGTCGAGTGGTATAAATAATCATGCAGTCTGTTAGCTATAACTCTAAGTGAGCTGAACATTTTCATTATTTGCAGAAATTGCTTGGCTGACCTTTATTGTCAAAAAAAAAAAAGAGACCATATTCACATAGATACAAAAATCTCGGTAAACTGAAAAACAATGGTGTTTGAGATTTATTTGAATATTTCAGGATGTCTCTGTTTTTCCCAGTTTCTTATTCACCCCCTTGTCCCTTGCTGCACTGCCTCACAGACTGGAATATTGCTCTGGTGTTAGATCCCTGACACTGTCAGTACTTTATCAAGTGACTAGCCTGCCACCTAGTGGGGGGAGATAGAAGTGCTTTATGTATGCATGTATTTACTTATTTATTCAGACAAACTGATTAGTTATAGGCTGGAGAATCCTGAATGGTGATGATAACCATAGCAATTCCTTACATTTGAATATCCCTTCGCCATTTACAAAGCATTTTCTCATATAGTATTTTAATTACTCCTCCCTCAGCACAATGCTGTATTATGAGCAAATCGTCTGTGCTGTATTTTTCAGATGAACTGAGTCTGAACACAGGCTTATTCAAGGTCATACAGGTGGGATCAAACCCAAATGCCATGTTCTGTTTGTGGAACTTAACCCCTCTGAACTTATATTCCCTCCTTTCTACATTTCTAGCTCTACTCTATGAACGATTTGAAAGCCTCTGTTTCCCACAAGTACATTTATTTTAGGAAACATCCAAGGATACTCTTTTTAAACAATTATAAGCCATCCAAAATATCCCTTCTCAAGAAAAAAATTATGAGGAGACAAACATAATTTTTTCTTGGTATATATTTAATTAATGTTTATTAAAAACAGGGTATGAATTAAGACCTATTTTCTGACGGAAAGTGCATAAATTGGGCAGAAGACACTTAAGGCTTAATCCTTGGAGGACTGTTTGATTACTGGCAGAGTACCTGTCACCAGCCAGTTTTAAATCCTTTTTTGATTAAGGCATATGATAACAACATTTTTCCAATGCAATATGATTCCATTACTTTTAGGCCGAAAAAATGGTATTTGCATAGAGCTTTGAGAGTGTAAGACACAGAGGTCTCAAAGAGATCCATTTTAATTTCCCTATGTCTCAGGAACTTACAGGGATTGTTGTGAATCTGCAAAGGGGACTTTTAGCTCCCTGTGTTGAAGCTCATTTGAGAAGGGAGATTTGTGGGCTCATCCAGGATTTACTAAGATCTGTAACAGCCTGTGTGCTTAGTGATGACCAAGGACAAACCATAAGAAAGAATCATGTCTACAACGACATCCATCTGCTGAATCTACACTTGGGCACACAACGGGAATATACTAAATCATGGGCCACCTGCTGAATGCAGTTGTGCTTGTCAAGTGTATCCAAAAATGCACAAAGGGTCTGTGACAGAAAAAACAGTTTCCACAGCACTGCAGATCATTGTGCTCAGGCTGTGCTTCTTTCTTGCGAATATGCCCCCAATGGGTACACTTTAGTATTACTTGCAAATAGCTACACTTTCATATTAAAATTTCAGCTCAAAGACTGACAGCCGTCAGAAGGGAGAGGTTATACACACAGTTCAGAGAATTCTACTCTTTTAGTCAAGTACTTAAATGTATATGTTTCAATGATATATAATTACTAATTACCAATGCAACTATGCTTGTCCATTTCAATAGCTCCTTATTTAGTAGGATTTATTTACATTTGGCTATAAATTACCTGTACTTATCACTTTTGCACTTGAGAGCATTTGATCCCCTAAAATATCTCTGCAATGTAAAATGCGTACTCTGGCCAATGTAAGACTCAGAGCAAATTTGTAGAAGATGATTTCTCTAGCTCTCCATCTATGTCTAGCATATATTTTATGAAAATGCCAAGGAAATAGAGATATACCAAGTCTAAATATTTGATAGAAATATTAATTAAGCCTTAGCAATTAGCTTTCATACTAAACATTGGCACTTTCAAATTGATCCAAAAACAAGGCATTTCTGTAAGCATGCACTTGCACTGCAAGATTAATATTTATGAATTCATTCAAGAAACCTTTCATCTGCTGCTGTTCTGGGCATGTCACTGTGCAAGGTTCTGAAGATATGTGGAATAACTCATTAAATCTTTACAAGAATATAAGGTAGGTACTA